GGGTGGTATTCCAGGCTAGCCCATCTATGGAAAGGGGACCTAACCTTTCTTTTACAGCCCAAAGAGAAATGACCTGGAGCTGGCAGAGATCCCCTTGCTGCAGCGATGAGGTCTGGTATAAGGGTAGTAGAGCTGAGGCTTGCAGGGATAGGGAGTTATCCCAGGTCCAACCGCGACCTGTTCATTTAGACAGGCAGCAGGGAATAACTTGGGGTTGTGACGGTACCCCATGGACAGGCTTTTTTGTTTGTTTTTGGTTTTGTTTTTGGCAGAAAAGTCCTTCCTAATCAGAAAACTGTTCTGCCCCACATACATATCAGGTTATTATTTTATTCTGCTATCACTGAGGTACACAGTTACTTATACCTTACTTGGGTGAATTGCCCTAATAGAATTTAGTGGGGTTATTCATAAAAAAAATGGGGTGCTTTTCATCATGAGAAAGGTAATGGAATCCTTCAAAAACATAATTTCACCATCACGGTATACATTTTCTTTAGTTTTCTTTTACCCTCCCTGAATTACAAACTGACTCTGAGGATTGGCTACTTCCTGGACTCTAAATAGGCCTTCCTTGATTTGGTAGCCCCCCCACCCCGTTAGATTCATAGACATTAGGGCTGGAAGGGACCTCAGAAGATCATCAAGTCCAGCCCCCTGCCCCAGGGGCAGGAAGTCAGCTGGGGTCACAGAAGCCCAGCAAGATTGAATGCCTTTGAGAGATATTTGGATGTCTAGGTAGGTGCTTGAACCACCCTCGGCAGCAGTCTATTCCAAACTTTGGGGGCTCGAACAGTAAAGAAGTTCTTCCTTATGTCCAGCCTAAAATGGTCATGGAGTTTGTGACTATTCAATCTTGTCATCCCTCGGGGTGCTCTGGTGAAGAGACATTCCCCCAGATCCTGGTGAGCACCCCTGATAAACTTATAGGTGGCCACCAGATCAGCCCTGAGTCTGCGCTTTTCCAGGCTGAAAAGTTCCATAGCTCTCGGTCTCTCATCGCAAGGTCTGTTTTCCTGACCTCTGATCATGCGCATGGCTCTCCTGTAGACTCTCTCAAGCTTCTCCACATCCCTTTTGAATTGTGGAGCCCAAAACTGGATGAAGTACTCCAGCTCCGGCCTCACCAAAGCCGATACAATGGGAGAATGATGTCCTGGGATTTGCTTAAGAAGCATCTATGGATGCAAGCCAGCGTTTTGCTTGCTTTACTAGCTGCAACATCACATTGAAGGCTCATGTTCATTTTGTGGTCAATCATGGCCCCCAAGGCCCTTTCATCCAAAGTGCTAGCCAGTGTAGCACTGCTGAGCCTATAAGCATGCTGCGGGTTTCCTGAAGTCGAGGACTTCTGTATTGCTGACTGACTTGTCGGCTTTATGGCAGATGGTGAAGGTGATAAGCTCATGGTCACAGTTAGCCAGCTTCCCTTCTATCATTAGGGGGGGAATCGCTGATAAGGTCATCCCCCATTGCCAGTACCAGGTTGAGTGGTGCTTTACTTCTCGTCGGCCTGTAGACTTCTTGCGTCAGAGAGAGAGGTCATCCACACACGTGAGAGAACTTTGTGACCATTCGGTTTTGGCTGAGTGCTCTTCCCACGAGATGTCTGGGTAGTTGATGTCTCCCATGACAACCATGGACCGGGACCGTGCAGCCTTGGCCAATTCCCTGGGGAACTCCTGGTCAAGCGCTTGATCCTGGGTAGGAGTTTTGTAATAGACTCCCACCATTGTGTCCCCTGTGCCGTGTTCCCCGCGGATTTTCACCCAGAGGGTCTCCAGTTGTCCACCCTGGGCGCCAGTTTCAGCTTGCAGGGACACGTATGTTTCCTTGATTATAGAGAGCTACGCCCCTGCCTCTTTTGTCCACTCGATCTTATCCAACCAGGAAGAGAAAGGCATAGACTTGCTTTGCTCAGGCCTAAATGTTCATGAGCTGTAAATTTTTCTGGAGGAAATGCTTACACTTTGTTTAAGGATAGTTAGGTTTATTCTACTTGTCAGACAGATACTCCAAGCATGATTAGATCTCCTCATTAGTAGAACAAAAAATGGCATCCCGAGGCCCTATGATATTCCCCATGCATCCTCCCCATCACATCTTCTGTGAAATGTACAGTAATTTAAGCAGCAAATACAAAGCTAAAAATCCTGGTGGAGATAGTATTACTGTTACTTCATTAAGCTAGGATGTTACAGATGGAACGAATAAACCTTATTAACTGTAAAATTGTCGTCATCCTTTTTGCTTTAACTCCATGCTAAAACAACTTCTTATTTCAGGCATTTTGGGTCCTTATGGATGGAATGCCAATAAAAAGCTGTTCAGAAGAGTTCTGCTTAACGATACACAGTGGAGTCAGTAGAGTACTTTTCCAAGAGCTGTGGTAAGTAAGATGCATCAATCACTACTTTTATTGGGGGTCTGTCTCATCAACAAGCAGGGTTGTTCTCCATTTTGCATGTGTGGGTGGGTGCGAGGGTGGGGGGGGAGGTTGGCAATAGTAGATGGTTTTCCTTTTTTAAATAGAATCTTTTAAAAATTGAATTAAAAGTTCTGTAACTCTATTGCTACATCCATTACACCAGCAAACTGATACAATAAAATTAAAAACCCTGCAATTACTCTCCTAGCTGGCACTTTAATCAAGGTTATTGTAATAAGTTTCTATGGACTCTAAACAGGAAAATAAGACCTGGAGTTTTCACGAGGCCTCTTTGTAAGATGCTTAGGCAGAGGCAGCAAAAGAAGAATGAAAATGTTGGATTTCTTCCTTGAATCAACACAGGGTAGTTTCAAGAGTCCAGTACCAATCAAATTAAGGCATGTTTTCTGAATGTTCCTCTGCCTAAGGGCAGTGGAAGAAGGAAGGGGAGGAGAATGAGAGGAGAGAATAACAGACCATGGTTGAATGCATATATGAAATTTTAAACTTGTAAATCGCACTTTGCGCAAGGAATATATGCTCAGTAAAAATCTGAGGAGGGGACCAGGCTGTGGGATTAAGCCAGCTGGCTCTGGTCCAGTTATTTTTCTTGCTTCTGTAGTGTAATGGGGCCAGTAGAAGATGAAACTCCACCACTGGAGAAGATCCTCACTGATGCAGAGCCATCTCCCAGCAGTTTTTTGGCATGAAAGGCATGCCAAGGCAGCTATGACAGGGCAGGCCATGATATACTCTGTCAATCCCCTACCAGCAGGTGGCAATGAATTGTGCCCTTGAAGTTGTATACAGTTTGAGCAGACACCAAAACTGTCCTCAAGCCAGCTAAGTATCAAGGAGAGTTAAATGGTCCTTCCCTCTTTATCCTACATGGTAGATGTTGATTGCAGCTAAAGAAGGAGAGTTTAAAGCGTATTTCATGCCTCTGCAGTCTCATAGGTAAGTAAATTGCTATACATGCCTTTTATGACTGTTGAGCGGTTTACAGATTAAGAATCCCTACTGCTGATACGTGATTTCCAGAGCAGATCTGCACTTCGTGCAAAGAAAACATGCATGCTTCATCCTGTCCTCCAAAGTAACTGTGGCTGCAGATTTTGGGGTGCCTGTATATGTGCCTATACATGTATTATTGTCCGCTTTGTAGACAGAATTTTTCAGTGTTGCTGTATTTCACCTGCTTTGGCACCTGAAACCATTGTAAGTTTAGCAGAGCTGGCATTAAGTCACTACCACAGCAATAATTTAACGTTTCCTTTGTTCTGTGCATTTACACGGCGACTCCAGCACTGCTTCACGTCTCCCTTAAGTGTATTATCCAAAAGTGATTCTTTAAGAATGGATTTTTACCATTTGCACACAGGTTTGTCTCCTTACAAGATAGGAGTTGATACTTTATCCACAGGGATTCATGCTGAGATAATGTTTTCATTCCTTGGGGTTCCCTTCTGCATCTGGGACCTTGAGATGCAAATGTGCACACATTTGCTGTCTGTGCTTTATGCTATGGCTGTATGAGTATTTCAGAGTTTTTTCTTTTCCCCAGGGGATTACAAACTGCACTCAGCAGTTTAGTTTGCATGCATTGCAAATGAGCCATCTCTAGTAGGTTCAGCTAGGGATTTAATGAACATAGTGCTTATAGCCAGCCCTCTTCTCCCTTTTCTTTCCCTCTCCTAGTCTTTGGATTTAACAGAGGCCCTTCTCTTTCAAACTATACAGGGTTCCTTCTTGCTCCTTAGGTGTTCAGCAACATTTGCTATTAAGCACCAAAAAGTACTTTCTCATGCGTGGGTTCTGCTAATGTTGAAAGGAGCAAACAACAGTACTGGAAGTTGCCTGTCTCTAGCATGGCAGTCTAGAGTATCATCAACATATTTACAAATGCTAAAGTGTGTCATTATAATATGCAGAGCAGCTATTTACCCAACTGCAAGAGAGGAAATGTATTTTTAGTAGCGGCCCTTCCTGTAGAGTTAGATCAAGATCACTGAACTGACAAGGTTAAACTGTTTAATTCTTTAGATGCCATGTTCCACGTTGAATGAATGTTCTTTTTTTTACCAAAAAGACTGTATTTATGAGCCATCACAGACGCTTGCTTAGTCAGCCATCTTTATTCAAAACGGCCTCACCACTAGGTGGGAGTATAGCAACACACTTGTTACATCACCCCGCTATAAATAAACCCCCCCACAAACTTCCAAATTTCAGTTAAAAGAGAGTTTTTCATTAGCTTTGTTCTTTTTAACATTACTATTTTAACAGCTTCTGTCGGTCTATACTACGGATACACTTCATTAAATCATTTTCAGCTTGTAGTAGCTGAAATGCCCATATAATAAATTAGAAGAGATCTGAACGTAGAAAAATTCTCATTTAGAGATTTGTTTAGAGAGATAGCTACTTGTGGCCTGCTACAACTTGTATCATATCCAGCTTCTCCTATTCCCTTACTTGTGTAATATATTCTTCATCATTTAATAATACAGCATTTCCACAGGACTGCTTTACTTTGTCACCTTTGGTTCTCTCTTTGTCAGCTGTTGGTTGCTGCTGCAATTTTTTAAACATTTTTGTTGTCTTAAGAGTTTTCTGTACTGGATTCTGTCTGTCTGTCTGTCTGTCAGTCATTTCATGTTCCTTAAATTTGGTATATGGCATCTGAATTTCTTATTCTTCCACTATTTGCTTTTTCCATATATAACGTCTATATTTGCTATGTACTTCACAGTAGGTAGTTTGTGTTGCCACCTCTTTAGAAACTTTGATTCATTTTATTTACCAAGAACTTTTGCAGCTCTACCTCACAATAATGCAACTTCTTGATTTATTTATTTATTTATTTATTTTTTTTATATTTATTTTGCTATGTTCAGTCTTCATTTCTAATTTTTAAATGAGCGTTTTATCTCTCTGTGGCATTAGGGGCTGTTTGTGTCTGATTATCTTACATTTCTGTGATGGTTTTCATCCAAATGCATCCCCTGGTGCTTTATAAACTTTGTGAATGGATGGTATATACCACGCATACTTTGCCTTTAATCAGAGTAATGAACATTTAGGGTGAAATGTGGTAAATAACAGTGAAGGTGGAGGCTGACAATGGATAGCATACAAAAGCAGCAGCTCATTCAAAACCCAAAGTTCTTCTCTTGAGAAGAGGAGGAGCACATCTCACCGCTGCTTTGTAAACATAATGGACTCTCCAGATAATATTGGGCATGCTTCAAGATCCTAGTTAAAAAAATAAATTAAAAAAAAAAATTGACTATGGGGGGACGGGGGATGATGTGTGGAAGCAGTTACTAAAATTGTTGTCAGCCTCACCCAAAATAAAGCTTGCCACAGTTTGAGACGGAGCATTCTTGACAGTGTAACACTCTACAGGATTTTAGTTAGCAAAAATATTTCCTTAAAAATTGAGGGCAGGATGCTCTGTTTCCCTTTCACAGGGAAACAATCTAGAAAACTCAATTTCCACAGAACTCAGAACAAGGGAAACAGTTCTGCTAAAATATATATTGGAGCTTATCATTCTTGTGTGTGGCACCTACACTGACAAATCTTTAAATGCATATATGATATTATATAGAATGTTTTAACAATATCAACAGATCAAATGCATGAAGGAAAAAGTACTTTTGCCATTACAGGTGGAGTTTGGGTGGTAGGATATATTTTGAAGACCATGAGTTAGTTTTTACATCCTAAAGTATTGTTATCTGGAAGATAACAACAAAGTGCTTGCCAATGAGGAGCTGAGGTACCAGTTCCTGACAGAAAGGAAGCATTAGGGGTGTGCAAAGTGGGCCTTATTTGATTCGGATTCAGCCTGAAACGGGGACAGTGATTCAATTAGTTGATTCAGATCACTGTGCCTGATTAGATTTGTCTGAATCCGAATTTGAAGATTTAATGCTGATTTAGAGAATCAGTGACTCAGCCATAGACACAGCTTTAAATGTTTTAAATGCTTCTGGTCCACTTCTGGGTCCACTAGGGAGTGCACTGGGGGGGCCCGCCCACGCTGCCTGGGCTGGGCAATCAGCTGTGGGGGGGACCCCGGGTGCCCCCCCAGATGCAGGAGTGTGCTGGGGAGCCCCCCACACTCCTATGGGACACTCCATGTACCCCAGCATCACAGCATTCACGAGTCGCCTGCTACCTAGAGGTACGTAGAAAAAACATTTAAAGCTGTGTCTGTGTCCAAATCTCCAAATCTTTCAGAATCTCTCTCTGATTTGATTTGGAGAGATTTAAAGGGTCTCCTGATTCAGTTGAGATTCAGCCACCAAATCGGGCCACATCTCCATTGAATCGGGGACCAAAGCTTCACACAGCCCTAGGAAGTATGCCATCTGTTGCTAATGATGTTTCACTTCTGCATTGAGACTCCCATCCAAGTACTGAACCAAATTAGCCTAGCACAGAGGTGTCCAACTTGTAAGTGGCTGGGATCTGAACACCCCACAGGCCTTACCAGCGCAGCTGTGCACCTGAGCGCCCAGGCATACCCCTCCGCTGCATTATGTGCGGGCTCCCCCCCCACTTCTGCCTTCCCTGCAAAGTCCCTACATCCTTAGGGTAGCAGATCAAATATACCATATTTATTTGCAAACCACACGGTTTTTTCCCAAAAATCAGCACTCCAAAACTGGGGTGCAAATTTTAAGTGGGGAAGCTTATTTTCTATCCTGGGATGGGAGAATGGAAGCATGGAGATGCTGTAAAATGGTCCCTGCTAGCCTCAGAGCACAGCAGAATTGGTGGTAGCTTTTGGCTGAGCAGTCAGCAGCTGCTGCCAATTCAGCAGTGGCTCTGAGAGGGTTAATACTAGCTTTTGTTTGAGCAAGTGCTTAATCAGGATTCGGCCATGCTGTCAGAATCCCCTGCAATCAGAATTCATCTATGACTGGAAAAATCTTTTCTCCCCATCTCACTTCATTCTGCTTTACCCCCAAGATGAGGTGCGTGTCTTATTTTGGGGCATGTTATATGCAAGAAAATATTACATTTCAGTTTGTAGAAAATGTAGTTTCAATTATCTTAAAGTTATTAATGATTTAGCTATTTAATTTGTAGATGCCTCAAGTTGAGTTAAAATTAAGCTATTCCAACTTGCAAGGCCCTCTGAGAATTTTGGGTTTGTCCCTTGCCTGCCATCTTGCCCTTTAAAAGTCACCCGTTGGCATCCCTGGGAGTTCTGCATAAAATTCTGTCACAAGATATGGCTGTCATCTTGGTTCATCTATCCCTAAAACTTCTAAAATGGTTTTCCTCTTGTTTTAGTGAAAGGGTTATTATCTAATCCTGAAATAATGCAGTATGAGTTTCCCTAGCTGTCACTTCCAGCAATATTATTTTGATAGTCCTCAGGATGGTGATGTCCAAATGAATTTCTTGCTGACTTTTTCATGATGGTAGTACAATATAATTGAAGCCCAATTCTTATGCAAACCATTATCAATATCAATATTATGTTATTAAACCATTAACAATATTATTCAATATCAACGGGGGAGCTTGTTTCTAGTATCCTTTTATGGGTTTTATTGCTCTATCTCTTTTATACAGTTCTGCTAGGAGGGACTTTAGGAATACAAAATAGTTGTAGATTAGAACAACAGTTTCTCTAATGATGCATCTTCTCTCTGAGAGTGACTAATGCCAGGTATAATAAAGAAAGGAGAGAGAGAACTAATAATGGCATATTATTTAATAACTTGCCAATACAAGTTTCTTTTTAATCTCCACAAGCTGTTGGATGACAAAAGTGGTTTATGGCCTTTATAACTAAATCTTCCCTAATGGAACTATGGATTTTCTTACTGTCTTGAATTTTCTTAACTCTTGGCCTGAAAGGTTGGAAGAGCTGGCATGGTCTAGTTTAGAGAACAGAAGATAAGGGGAAAGGGGAGAATTCAGTAAAAGGTCTT